AATAAATCCTTCAAATGGAAGGTTTCGATATCTCCCGAATATGGGAGATATCAATATGAGAGTTTGATATATCTCTCAATCGTTGATCATTCTCCGTCACAGGCTACCATTGTCAACCCCAACCACCTTCGTTGCCGGTTACCCTCACTAATCACTAATTAAATCATAATTTTAGATCTCCAAACAAATTGATTTCAGATTTCAAAACCCACATCATTTTTCTCTATTTCATAACTCATATCATAAGATCTCCAAAACTCACTAAACGGGCCCTAAAATAATTTATAACCAACAATTTGTAGAACAGAAATGTACCCACAAAAATTGCTTTTTAAAAGGGTTAATAAAATACGGGCGATTTTGAACGGATCTTGCATTCTTGACTTTGGTGGGCTTAAATACGGAGTGAATTTATGGCCCATTTTATCGGGCCGATAACAACCTCCACATGTCCACCTCTATAAAAAGGGGATTAGCCTACAAGGCCAATTGATCCAACTATATCCGTTAGTCCATTGGAGCCCAGTAACGATAAGGATAAATCCGTCAATTTGTACAGCGTCTTTGAAAAGCTTTATCAACAGATCACCGTCGCCGGTGGCCGGAAGCAAACAGAGAGACGGAAATGGAGGAAGCAGGCGGCAGCGATCATCTGAAGCCGGAAACGATCACGGTGAATGTGAAATTCCGCGGAAGCTCGATCCCGGTGGATATCTCCGCTGACGCGACGGTCAAAGAACTCAAATCTCTCCTTCAGCCGCTCACCAATGTCCTCCCGCGCGGCCAAAAACTCATATCTAAAGGTTTTTTTATAGTCTTCCGATGAAAAAATCCATTCGACTCTTCCATTCATTTCCGTGAACTCTTGTGCGTTTCCGAGCAGGGAAACTTCTAGTAGATGAAATGACACTTAGGTCCTCCGAGGTTTTCCATGACTCCAAGATCATGCTCATGGCCTCCCAAGGTCTACACCAAGGGGTATCTTACTCTGGCAGTTTCTTTTTTTCTTTGTTCTTAAATTTAATCATGGCACCAGAATTTTGTCCAAATTGATCAAAATATATTGAAGCAAAGTCAAGAATTGGAATAATGAATTAGCATAAGAGATTAAGCTGTGAATCTGGGGTCTGTTGAATGTATCCATCCCAGGACGGGCCGATTACAAAAGGAACTGTGGCATCATCAACTGCAAGAAGACAGCCTGAACCTTTGAAGTCTGAGCTTCATGTTGAAAAGAGTCAGATTGAACGATGGAAGGCTACTGGGGTATTGGCATTATCTGAGTGCAATCTGAGGGTATGATGGCTGTTTGGACCTTCTGCCATTACCACACTTTGCTGTTTAATTTTCAGCTTTGTAACATCTTCTTGTTTCGTATTTGGAAGGCTATACCTGATGAAGTATGGGTCTGTGGACCTTCTGCTAGAGTTCTTGATCTGAATAATAACTCTGTAAAAGAAATTCCTGCCAGAATTAGTCATTTCAGTTCTCTTCAGGTAAATAAGAGAAACATTGTCCAAAGTGTTTAGGTATTCGATTTCTTGGTCAAGAATCCGTGACAATATATACTACGTATACCGAAACTGGATTGGTTTGATATATGGTTACAAATTATTTCGCAGAAACTGCTGCTTAATGGAAATGGCATTGAAGACAGTTTTTTAAGCTGGGAAGGGATAGAGTCTTTGAAGTCTTTGTTAGTTCTATCTTTGAATGAGAACCAGTAAGATACTTCTATTCTAGAGGGATAAGTTTCCCTATTTCGATTGAAGTGAAAGTCATTCTGTCCACTTCTGAAATGCAGATTAACAATTCTACCTTCCAACATCGGTGCATTGAAAAGCCTGAAGCAACTTCATATTGCAAACAACAAGTTGACTTTTCTCCCAACTGAGATTGGCTTGTTAACTGCACTTGAGGTTTTGAAGGCCAACAATAACAGGTAACTTCTTTTTATCATTCCTCCATCCCTAAATGATGTTCTCGTTTGCTTTTTTACACAGCTTAAGAAAAACTAAAATTGTATGGTGTAAGTTTATGTAGAGGAGAGTAATTTACTTAGTTTGTATGGTATTAACAACAGAATCATGGACTTCACTTTTCAACAAGTTTAACATGACTAGTTCTTCACATCACTAAAATTTCTTGTTTGTTGCAGCTTAAACGCCATTCCGACTAGCATATGTGGATGTGCTTCTCTTGTTGAGGTATGACTTTGTACCCCTCTCATTTGGATGTTATTATAATTTGAACTTCACATATCGTTTGATGATCCATCGTCCCCTGCTTCACCGTTGTTATAATACCTGCTATGGTGCAGGTTGATCTTTCATCTAATCTTCTGTCTGAGCTGCCTGATACCCTTGGCAGGCTAAAGGATATGAAGGTCAATATACCCGAGTTTCTTTCATCTTGTTGCTTGTTTTGTCTCTCTTTAATTTAAACATAACCTCTTTGATGGATGGAAACTATTTATACACATGGAGAGGCATATTCCAAATGTGATTATTGTCCTCAAACCCCATTTATTTCACCATTCCAAGGAAGGCTAAGAGGGTGTTTGTGAGTGTGGTTAGTTCTTGAAAAAGCAAATGTCCTAAATCCGAAGAAAAAGTAGTCACTCCTAATTTTGCTAGAAAGCACTGCTAGAGCTCACTTTACACTTCTAAAGCCTCAATCCATAAGCTAAAGCAGATAGGCAAGCGCTTGAGACAACGTACTTTAGTAAAGTAGAAGCTCAAAAGTTGTTCTCAAACACACTCCCAAACACACTCTAAGAGAGTATTTGGTTTGATATTTGTGTGTTGTTGTGCAGGCGTTGCACCTCAGGAACAATGGGCTTACATCTCTGCCTAGTACTATATTCACACTCTGTACTCAACTCTCAACGCTGGATCTTCATGGCACTGAAATAACAACCGATTATCTCCGTCAGGTATGCACCTCATATTTATTTCACAAACATTCGACGACATCTTATTTTAAAATCTTTGGGAATTCTGTTATGTGTGGAGTCATGGAAAATATATATACATATATTATATGTATGTGTTCATCTTGACAGTTAGAAGGATGGAATGATTTTGATGAGAGACGGCAGATGAAGCATCAAAAGCAACTGGATTTCAGAGTGAGCAGCTCGGGCGAATTTGATGAAGGTGCTGATAAAAACTAAAGGAAAGAAAAAAATGCCAGAAATTCTTTGATGTTTTCCCCATTTCTGTTATGAAGGATTCGCAGATGATATAACTAACGAATGGAAATCAAAACACATGATTGCTGCTTTTCCTTCAACAATGTTCAGATAATCATTTTAAGCTTAAAATGCATTTGCCAAAAGAAGAAGAAGAGTTTAGAACCCTATCCCCTATGATCCAAACGGATTGCTTATAGGATTGACTAAAATTGAGCTATAATCTCAATCTAATAAAACTGAAATCATACAAGTAGGGCACAAAGTCTTATGTCTTAGTCTTCTAATAAAATTGAATTCACAATATTTTTTACATTTCATTACCATTTACCATTTCGAGCATTTTCTTTTAGGGCAATCGCGGATTTGCAAAAAATGGATTGGGAAACATTGTTAGTATGCCTTTTGTTTGTGTATTCTTCAATTGTTACTATACAATTAAAATCCGTAAAATCTCACCTTTTACTCTCAAAAGTGAAATGTACTTACTTTGCATAAATTTCATAATCCACACTAAAAAATTATATTTGGTCCAATTTCGAATAAGGAGGACCAAAATTATCGTCCTATTTCAGATAATGAAGATTCACTGAGTTTATTTTTAATTTTATTTATTTAAATAATGGCACACAATTTCAAAATAAAATTTTTACATTAAGTTTTATTTTATTCTACTCAGAACATTTCAAAATGTGGTAGGTAAGCGGGCAACAAGTTGCACCGACACCCCTTTTTGGATAACAACTCCTATTCTACTGGAAACATATTCGTGACCATTCGGAGCCGATACATTTTTGCAAACAACCTTACGAACTTGATCCAACATATTTTTATATTAAAAGACCACATTAGATAGGTGGGCACTCTATAAAACAAGAAGTCACATGATATTGTTATTCTAATAAGTGATTAATGAAAATGAGTAAAGAAAGAAGAAAAAGTTTAATCACTTAACGTAGAACAGGACAATAATTTTAGGAGTGGGCACGGACGCGTTCCACGTTTGAAAAATGGCGGGTCACTGTTACCGCGGGAGCTCAACCAACCCTACGTCGTTCATTCATGGAAAATGCCTCCATTGGGTTATATGAAGGTCAATGTGGATGCTTCAGTTGGTCTTATGGATGGCTTTGTGGGTTTTGGCTTTATTACTCGTGATCATGATGGACATTTCATCGTGGCAAAGAATTTTTGGTGTAGGAGACGTTTTGGTGTAAGTGAGGCAGAGGCTATTGCGGTGAAAGAGGTACTGAGTTGGGTTGTATCCAAAGGTTGGTCACGGGTTATTATAGAAAGCGATTGCAAAGAAGTTAATTCCATCATTGACGATATGATTGTAAGCGCCTTCAAATATCTTGTGGCGAAGATCTTGATTTTAGATTTATTTATCGTGTGTCACATTTGTTAATGCGTGTTACTCATTCTATAACGGGTGTTGGGGAGTGGATGAACTCACCCACTAACTTTATTACTACTTCTCTCTAATAATATCTTAGTTTTTCAAAAAAAAACTCATTTTATCAAACTATTGGCGTAAAAAATTTAAAAAAATTTATATATTGAAAAAACAAATCAAAAGTTTTGTAAAGTAAGATATGACATAACAATGTTAGTTTAGCAAATTTAACCATGAAAAAATGTTAGGAGAGAAGTATAATTAAACCATGTAAATGGTAAATGTGACGAAATTAATAAGCTGGAGAGTAGAGCTTTAAAAAAATTAATTTTTTTTATTTTAAAAACGTAAATTTATTTTATTAGTTATGCACTAATATATAAAATAAATTGAATTAGAAATATTTTGAGTATGATTTTTATGCATGTTAACACATTTAACCGAATTACAAATATTGCCCAAATGAAAATCCTTATGGCATTTTATACCCTTAGCGTCTCCTCTCTCGACCGGCCTTACCTTTCCAGTTCTTCATAAACCCAGATCCCGTCTTCCGAACAGCCGTAGATTTGAGGTCAGGTTCCATATTCATGTTTTTCTTTCAAATTCATTTATATTTTGACTTACCACTTTGGATTTTCATCTCAGATCCTATGCTGATATTCAATAATCTGTTTAATGTAAACCCAGCAAATATATAAAGTGTTATTCGCTTTAATTAATTTACTAATTTTAAATTCGTATAATCTAGTAATCTTTGAAATCTTGGTTTCTATTTGTTGAGGCGAAATTAGTTTGTTCTGCCTGAAATTTTTAGGGTTGAATTTGCTTGCTTCTAAGAAAGAATCTAATTTGATGTCATGAAGTTGTGAAAATTTCGCAATCAGCTGAAGCTAAGTTTGAACATAATCTAATACTCCGTAATTAATTTTGGTACTTGTCTAAAGGTTTAGCCCATATGGAGTATTAAGAATTGGTTCAACACTTCATATTCTTAGGTATGATGGGGTGACAGTTTTTATGAATGCTTGAGAGAAGCGTAGTGTAAGAGCAGTTGAAACAGTAAATGTTGCAAATTATTTTCTGGTTGACTATTGTTTTAGCCGTCCTGTTGCTTCCCTATGCAACCCTGCAATTTGGTGAATTATGGGCAATTATCATATATCACTCAGATGTTATTATGCAACTTCTATTTTTACTTTCCAACATAATTTCACTATGTACTTCTCTAGATTATTTTTAATCAACACAACATTCTTTGGCCATGTTTGTTAAATGGCGGTGTGAGGAATCCATTGAAAACCATATCATGCATGATCCCTCAAAAAGACTATAAGTACCCTCTTCTTTAAAATTTAAATAAATTTTGAGTGGTGTTGAAATATTGAAATAATAATATTGCTCCTTGAATTATGAAGTACATGATAGAGTATATATAGAAGAGACTCCTAACACAACTAGGAATAGAGAATGGAGACTAACTAAAATACAACATCTACCACAAATAAGATTAGGAAGCTGACTAATAATGAAACACTACCACAACCAATACTACCACAAGTAATACTATTATTATTGTCTAACA